GTCATGTACCAAGCATCTTGAGGGACAGGTGGGGTGACCTCTGAACTACAGAAGCCCAAAAGAGTGCACTGGTGAGAAAAAAAATCTTGATTTTCCCAAAATTAAAAATTAATAAATGGCAAATTTGAATTAATCGATTAAATCGATGATTTATCGCCCAGCCCTATTTTAGAGTTGTGAAATTTTTATTTGATTTATGAAGCTTCTATAAAAGCTATTTTCATCTGGATCACACCTGTTTTCAGAAATTCTAGTTTGTCAAATTAAGCTAGCTCTCCGGTTCCCTTGTCCTGACCACACCTCCTCACTAGGCCGTACCCTTTACTGTCCCATTTTGTTGGATTGTTTCTAATTTGCCTGGGGGCTTCTGGGTTATGCTTTCACAGGAAAGGTTAGTTACACTTTAAAGACATTTGTTAAAACTGAGGACGTGAAGTCATGAGTCTACTAGCCAGAAAGTGAAGTCTGACCTGCGCCCTTCCTGTCTTTGTTACCCTTAACAAGGCCAGTGAAAGGTCTCGCAGGAAGTATACCCACACAAAAGTGCACGCACAATCTCACACCTTTGATAGAACTTGCAGAAATCAGCACTTATGTATATGGGTCACTATTTCAATTATTCACACGATGTAACCCACTTCCCTGTGCACAAGCACAGATGGTGGTTCTGACGGAACCAAAGTCAAACTGAACGCACTACTTGGTTCACAATTCCTGACAAAAAGTTCAGACAGCAGAAAAGGAGGTACTCTCATGTTCTGTTTCTGCACAAACATATGCTGCATGTAGCTTTGAAATGGAGAGTTTTGATTTAAAACTAAATTAATAAATGAAAAACAAACAAAAAAACTGGATAAACCAGTATTTAGGAAAGACCTACGTTTTTTGCAGATCTTTTGTGGGGTACGAAGTGTTATAAAAAATCCTGAAAAAAATAAATTACTCAATTAGAGGTGGGCGATTTCTATTGCACAATAGTATTGTCCATGTAGCTTTCAAGATGTGCAATTTTACATTATCAAGTATTTATACTGTCTCGAAAAGACAAAGACTGTGGGGAAGGGGAGGGGCACAAGTCCTCATTCATGGAATGTGTCCCACAGAAACCAATCAGTAGACAGGATTCAGTCATGTGACTCAGGTTAGCAGCAACAAAACCAATCAGCGGGCCAGTCTTTGACTCACGGCAGCCAAAACAATCTTTTCCCATGGAAGAAATATGCAATAACATTCTGTCTCAGCAGATGATTTATAGGGGTGTAAGAAAATATCGATACACTGAAATATCGCGATATTTCATTTCCCGATACTGTATCAATATTCTAAAGCCCTGTATCGATTTTTTATTAAGGTTTAAAATATCAACTTTCCTGCCAGCCGTTCCTTTTTATGTTGTAGTTCAGCCTCTGACCACTAGTTGGCAGCAGTGAGCCACCTATTTGGC